AATAGCAACAAATAACAACGAATAACAATGAATAACAACAATTAACACAAGAAACTCCACAATACTACTCAAAATAATCTCATTAACGCACAATACACTGTTTCAAATCGAATTTTGACACTTGGAAATTTTAAATCAAAACATTTGGTTGCCATGGTTACGCACGGCTACCACTATTTTTTATATCAAATGGATGGGAAATAATGAAACTTTAAATTAATTTTTCTCGAAAATTATCTTATGTAACCGATATTAATATTTATTGTACATAATTCAGAAAAAATTTTCTTTCGAATTCTGATATAAAAAATGGAGTGTTCCATTTAAAAAAGAACTTCGATGACGTCATAACTCGTTTAAAAATGGCGGAAAAAATTTAAAATATACACCAAAAAATTGCAAAAAATTTAAATCTTTAGACCCGTTTCAGCGATTTTTTCATAAATTATTTATAATAATTTTATCAAATTTATCCGTTACTTTCGAAACGCACTGTATAATCTAATATACGTAGCTATTTTTTCTTATACGTATATTTAACCTTTCAAGTACTTCAATAAAAATATACAACTTCTAGCGCTAAATAACAATTAAAACTAGAACTAACACTAGACCATGAACTAGCAACGTTCGGGTTTAGCCGTTAGTCTTTTAAGACGGCTAAAGCCGAATGTTGCTGGTTCTAGGTCTGGTGTTAGTTCAAGTTTTACTCTAGCACTATCACTAGAACTAACACAAGACCTACAACTAAAATCATTCGGGTTTAGCGGTCTTGAAAGCCGTTGAGCTAAATCCGAATGTTTCTAGTTCTCGCTCTAGTGTTAATTCTAGTTTTTTAGCTATCACTAGAACTAACACTATACCTAGTACTAGAATCATTCGGGTTTTAGACGTTTCTAGAGACGTACGGCTAAACCCAAATGATTCTAGTTCTACACAGAGAGAAATTTATGCTTGAGTCAAACATATTACCCTTAATTCAAATAAATGATTTGTTTGTATATCCGCAAAAATAAGATAATCTTAAAGCAAGAAACGGTGTAAAATCTTGTACCAAAAAGATGAATATTCTTAATTTTCAACAAATAATATTCTTGGTTGCCAAGAGTTTTGGAATTCTCCAGTTAAGAACAAAAATATTCTTGATGTAAAGATATATATGTAGTATTTAAAAGAAAAAAATGTAATCTTCTTTTTAATATTTTATCTCAAGACAAGAATAAATTGTTTTCGGTGAAGAATAATTTAGTTTTTAATTCAAGTATAGCTCAATATTTTTTGTTTTTAATCGAAGAACACCATGTATTTTATATGAATAAGCTTTTTCTTGGTTTAATAATAATAATTATATTTGAATGAAGAGGAAATATTTTTTCGCTTAATAATACTTATTTTTGAATTAATACGTATAGTTCTTGTTTCAATAACACCGCGTTATTTACCGCCAAAGATGTTTTAGCATAACTTGTAGGCCGAACATTTTACTTCTTAATAAAATCTCAAACATATTCTTTGCTAAATAATTGTTGCGTGCACTACTGAACTAAATAACTGCATAGCTAACAACTGTTTAGCAAACAAATAATAGAGAGCTTATTAAATCGTTAAAAGTTCTGCCTTTTAGATCATGCTAAAAGGAACCTACAAAAAATCCTCCATATCACTACAATGTGCACTACAATGAATAAACCAAACTATAGTGACCACTGTGACCAAACTCAGTCTTTACTTCGAAATGAACATAACAAGACAACAAGATTAAACGTGTTCGAAGTCGGTTGGTCGTGGGTTACAAGTGCGCATACGCATCGATTTATCAAGAAAACCAGATTTTTTAACCAACAAATGCTTTACTTGGGTCAAGACGACTTTAATTTCGTTTTAAAATTGTTCCCTTTTTCTTAGGCCTTCTGCACACGGAGCTGCTCGTCATAGACGCGTATTAGATGCGATTGTAGGAAAGCGTACGCTTCAGTGCATCTCACGTATTTTTAAATGAAAACCTGCAAATAACGACGCGGCTTGGCGATTTCGTCTAATAAGACACTTAAAAGCGTCATGCAGCGACGCTTCTTATACGCCTAAAGATCCGCAAACAAACCGATCTTAAAACGTATTTTGTTCAGTACTTGCCAATATGTCAAGTGATGAAGAGGATCTACTTTTGTTAAATTATCTTCGTTCTCGTAAGAGAAAACAGAAATATAAGAGAAAATTTTGGGTGCATCCTTATATTGGCAAAAATATCGGCAAGAGACTATTTATTGCTGCCAAAGAGCTATCAGTAGACGACTCTAAATTTGAAAGTTTCTACAGAATGTCTAAAAATACGTTTAAAGAACTGGTGTTAATTGTAGGTCCCACCATTCAAAAACAAAATACTAACATGCATGAATGTGTTAGTGCAGAAGAGAGAATTTTGATAACGCTAAAGTAAGTAAAGTAATTTATTTATTATAAAAACAATAATACAAGTTATATATTTAATTTTTAAAGAAAGTCATTTATATTACTACTACAAGCAGGTAAACTTTCTAAATTATGAATTATGTATCCAACCGTGGTGTCATAAATAGTGGAAGCTGAAGACGACGCAATACTAATCGGCGAAAGAGCGTGATTGCTTTGTGTGTTATCGTGCATTTGAAAATGATCTATAGATTGCTCTTGCTGCGTTAACAGTTGTTCTAGCAATACAAGTGTTTTAATTTTAAATTGTTGCATATTTTTGTCTGGTAAGTTTTTTATGTCGGGTAATAAACTTAAAAGAAACATCCTTCGATCGTCA